TTTGGGATATTTTCTGTTCCATCATTGATTTCTGATTCGGTGACCAATAAACTAATCCATTAGTATAATAAATGAAAATATAATTTTATTGAAGTATTTGGGTTGCAAACTTTACATATGAATTACATGTGATTCACATGTAAATAACATGTTATTCACATATGATTCACATTTTAATCACATGTAATTCGCATATGATTCACATGTAAATATGAATTACATGTGATTCACGTGTAAATCACAAGTGAATCACATATGAATTACATGTGATTCACATGTAAATAACATGTAATTCACATATGAATTACATGTGATTCACATGTAATTCACATATGATTAATTTGTGATTCACATGTAAATTACAAGTGAATTACCTATGAATTACATGTTATTCACAAGTTAATCACATATGAATTATATGTGATTCACATGTAAATCACATGTAATTCACATATTAATCACATGTAATTCACATGTAAATCACAACTGAATCACATATCAATTACATGTGATTCACATGTAAATCACAAGTGAATCACATATGAATTACGTATGCACACATGCATTTTGTGTAAATGTTCTTCGTTAATTATTTTTTAAAATTTTCTTGTGAATTTCACATTTAAATCTTAAAAGATACAATATCATGTGAATATCACATTATATAATCACATGTGAATCTTACACGATATATACATGTGCGTGTTCTTGCATTAATCATTTTTTTTTCCTGTAGATTTTGAAGAATTTTTGGAAAATATTGAAGAGGTGAAAAGTGATAAATTGAAGAAAATATGTAAATATTGATATGAAGAAATGATAACACTGTGAATCTTTGTAGTTTTTTTTATATTTTATTTTGTATCGAATAAAATACTTGTATTATGTTTATAGATTGATTAATAAAAATGAGATTTTTTATAATTTACTCATGAATATTATAGTATAAGAAATATGCATATACGCATTTGAAAAAATATGCATATATGCACCCAAAACGTTGATTTTTTTGTTAAAAAAATGCAGTTTTGAAAAAAATTGCACTTTTTTATTAAAATTGCAGTATTTTTTTTTTTTTTGAAAAAATGCAGTTTTTCTAAAAAAAAATGCAGCTTTTCTGAAAAAAAAATACAGTTTTTTTTCTAGAAAAAATGCAGTTTTTTTTTTAAAAAAGATGCAGTTTTTTAAAAAATAATTTTTTTCATTTTTTTTGAAAAATTCATGTTTTTTGAAAAAAATTAAAAAATCTCGATTTTTTTAAAAAATCGATTTTTTTTTAAATAAATCCGAAATTTTGAGTTATTTTGTTATTTTTTAGACATTTATATTAATATATTAAATAACACAAAAAAATTAAACATTAAATGAGATTGGTAAGATGACGATCATGTCCTTAACGAATTACTTTTGATCCAACGCTCCACTTTTAGTTCTCAGGTTCTCGGGAAACTTTGAGTTCTCAACCGATCTCAACCCTATATATATATATATATATATATATATATATATATATATATATATATATATAATATTCTAAACTTTGATTATTTGGTAATTATGAGCCCTATACTCAAGATTCTAGTCCTAACACCACCAAATCTAACTAAAACTCGCCCCACCTCATGTTTAACTAATATAACTTTAATAACATCCAATTCTCACATACAAAACACCATAGCTAAATATGGTGATTAAAGACTTCAACTATAGTTAAATTCAATTTTTCTAACAATATTTCCCTATTTATTTATTTACATCCACAAATCATCATACAAATATTTTGTTTTATATTTTTCCTTCTAAATATTATTCTAATTACCTTAGAGTTTATTTAATTGTTTATTTAAATAAATTTGAAAAAAAAAACACCGAAAAGCCCAAAACCTCTAGGCCAAAAATATGAATGTTATGATAATTACAAGTTTATTGTTGCTCGTGGGTGCTTGGTGAGATCATCCACGAGCAAATTTATGATGTTGATTGGATGTACCTTTTTTTTCCAGAGTAAGAGTAATTTGTTCTGATGCAAGCCGGCCTAGATGGTGGGTAACCATCCATGACCTATCTCTCATAGAGCCCTAAATTTTTTATTGCATGTATTGTTATTAGACTATTGTCTAATTAATGTTCTTCATTTAAAAAATAGTCTCATGAGCAAAACCTCATATATTGTATTGTACGACATGAATTTTGCTTCATTGTTATCAAAACGATTACACAAAGATCAAGACCGAATGAGAAATACATCACATCAAAACTCGGCATATATCACATCGGAACTCGGAAGTTGAAAATTAACAAAAGCTACAAAAAGAGGAAACGATATGAAATAGGAAATCAACATCTCATACAACTCTAGTCATAAGATGTTTTTGGAATAAGTATTTTTCATAAGTTAATAGAATTTTGTGAAATTTACGTCTTTAAAAGAATTTATTTTTTCTCATGCTTCGGGTATTTTTAGACCGACCTTGGTCCAATAACAAAAAGAATTTGGGTTATTTGTGTTGTAAGTCCAAGAAAAAGAAAAGCAGTTAAATATTATATAAAAAATTAAATTATTATTGCAACAATTTTAATTTTTGTATTGCGGAAAATCAAACTTTAAAAAGAATTTTACCCGTAAACACCTGAACAAAAGTAATGGCGGCTTTTACTTTTGGTACACAATGAATTTTTCTTTTAATTTTATATGGTATTTTCCCTTTTTATTTTGGTTCAAATGGGGCACCTGGAGAATAAAATCTTTTCTCTAGATCTCTTTAGAGTCCCATGAAATAGTAAAAGGTTCAAGTTTACAAAAAACAAAGCAAAACCTAAAATACATACATAAAAACATTGATGGTTAAACATTATATCAAAATAAATAATTGACAAAATTATACAAATGGTCGTCGTGGTGATAGGGAGAAAATATCATTTTAAATCTTTTTGAAGATTTTTTAAAATGGGTAGTGGCTTCAGGTTTAAAAAACACACAAACACACGCGATGAGTCCTTTTAACTGACATGGCTTGTCATTTTCATATTTAAAACGTACATGTGGGTCCTTGTGGTTGGTATAAAATAACACATCGTGTGCGTTTTAAACCTGAAAATAACAATCATGTCAAAAATTTATCAAAAAGATTTATAATGATATTTTTTGTCAATCATAAAAACGATTTATGTAACTATGTATAAATAATTTGATGGGAGTTAAGATATGTTAGGTCGAGTTAAATAAACATTTTTTACTTCATTATTGCATATTTTCCACATAAGCCACGATGTGTTTGATCTAGTACTTTTACAATTTTTCCTATGAGCAAATGAATACATTGTTATCTTGATCGTTTATAAACAATAAAATCTTTAAATGTTACATCTTTAGATCCCGAATTACAAATAGAAGATCCCAAACATCATCATTCTTTTATTTTTTGATACCTATTTGGGCACCTCTTCTTGCTTGTAGTTCCCAACTACCCAATGCCTCATTTCTCAAGTTTTCTCATATTCCATCCCCTCTTTCACCAAGAAGAAACCTTTGATTCTTCCCCAATTATACAAATACCCATTTAAGGCTACCAAAGATGCCTCCTTTCACTCTACAAATTTGCTTATCTTTCTTTTTCGAAACCCGAAATATAAACATCAATTATATATGTTCTATATATCCTCTCCAAAAAACAAAATATACCAATACGAGTCGTTTTCGGGTGATATGGGTCCGGGAGTTGTTTTGTATTCGATGTTCTTCGTACTTTTGCTTCTTCTCAGTCCAGGTGACGTTTATATATTATTTTCATACTTAATGATTTTGAGTCTGCAAAATATAAAAATCGATTAAGATTTTATTTTCCCTTAGACCCCAAAACTATATTAGAAGTTGATATTGATTGATATCGGTACGTTATGTAATGCTTTTAAGATCGTTAAATATTAGCTTTTACATAGTTGACATTTATCACATATCTCAGCTATTGATTTTATCAATGTAACAAGTAATTTTCTGAAGGAAACATGCAATCATATTTTATTAAATTGAACATTTTACTATTTCATGGTGTCACCTTCTTTCCAATTTAGGCAACCGTATTTTGTTCTTTCATCAATTTATGCAAGTATCTTTCAATTTTTTCCAGTTTCAAGACAAATTAATTATACAAACACATTTTAATCAATTAAACATGCCACTAGTAAAACATTACATCTTTTTATCCTAATATGAAACGTTGGTATCAACTATTGATGTCATTGTAATGATTAAATGGTTTTCTTTTAGTTTTAATTAATAACTGAACCTTTTGTATAAGGTTTATGCAAGCAATATATCATGCAGAAGCAAAGAATTATAATGATTTTGTTGGGTTTTTTTTTCAGATTCAAGCTTTGGTGAGAAACCTCCATTGGAAGCAATCTTGCATAACAAAGTGCGACACCTCCTTCAACAAGATGACATCCCCATCATTCAACCGACAACTCCCACCGGAACTCCAAACACAGATTCCCCAACCACATTTCCGCCAACCACCACCACCCCCACCGGAAACCCCACAACTTTACCACCACCATCACCAACCGGCTTTCAACCAAACAACCCCACCCCATTTCCAACTACTCCAACAGCCCCGATGGGCCCGTCAAATCCGATGGGTCCGTCTGTCCCAACCGCCCCGACAGGCCCATCTGGACCAACGGGCCCAACGGGTTCATCGAGTGGATCATGGTGTATTGCAAGTCCATCGGCTTCTGAAACGTCTCTACAAGTAGCACTTGATTATGCTTGTGGCTATGGAGGAGCCGACTGCTCAGCAATTCAACCGGGTTCAAGTTGTTACAACCCGAACACAGTTCGGGATCATGCTTCCTATGCTTTTAACGCGTATTATCAAAAGAATCCGGCTCCAACTAGTTGCTCTTTTGGAGGAGTTGCACAGGTTACCAACACAGATCCAAGTAAGACCGTGTTTGCTTTTTTAGTGTTATATGAATAAATGATATTTAAAAATATATATTTTTTAAATAATTCTACAATATTTATTACAGGTTCAGGAAGTTGTCGCTTCTCAGCTGCCAAATCAACAACAGGCATGATGACTCCACCAACGCCTCCCATGCCAACCCCACCCACCTCTCCCACGTAAGCAAAATACATCAGTGCAATGTCACTAATCATTCAACTGTGTTGTATCAGATTTTTCAATTATTAACAACTCTTTCAAATTTATGTTTCCACTTGCAGAATAAGTTCACCAATCAACCCGTATCCTACAACACCTACTCAACCGGGCGGGTTTTCTCCGGATCAACCAGGTTACACGTCATCAGAGCCAACAGGGGAGCCCAGCTCAGCAGCCATGATGGCTGCTGACTTATTCCTTCCATTGATGATAACTATTCTACTTGTATTTCTAAACAGAGAAAAATGAATATCAACTTAATGAAACAAGATGGGAATTCACTTGGCTGGAATTCGTCACATGTCGAATTGAAGCGGGCCCTATTCTTAGATAAGATCATTGCCATACTTCATGTTTAAGAATGGCTTTTAGTTGTAGTAGGAAAATTATAGAAAATGAAAAAACAAAAGTAATTTATTGGGTTATCTACTTGTTACTTCTTGCAATTATTAGCAGAATAAAATTTGTAGATGAGTCGTATTTCGGTTTAGAATTGTTGTAGCGAAATACATGTAGAATAAAAATATTTATTGAAAAAATGATAACAGATATATGGAAGTACAATGCTATAACTGGGTAGAGTTCTAAAAGTACAATGATCACTTAATAAGAAAAAAAAAATGAAAGTATAAAACTGCAATAAAAAGAAACAAAGTGAAGATAAAAGTTGAATAAACAATATCACATAGATCACAAGGATTCTCCCTTTTGAGTATTATATTCATTAACAGGAGCAAATATTCTTTACACATGCATAAAACTATAAAAGCAGTTGAAGTACATTTAATAAACAAAAGTAGGGAGTTATAATCATATAACTTGTTGAGCTCGAAATAGTATACAAACAATCACACGTAATTGTTCAAGCATTTTTTTAAAACAATTGTTCATATTAAGAGCATGATTGGAACAGCAACAATAGAAAGTATGGCTAAGGTGGCAATGATTGAACCTTGGTCAAATGCTCCTCTTAAGTTGCCTAATCGTGTGAAATGCTGGAAAGCAAGAAATGCAGCAATGATCAAAGAAAGAGCCACCCCTTCTTGTCTTCCTCTACAATAACAAACATTCACATTACAAAATTACTAAGGTTGCGATTTTTACATAGGACAGGGTTCATGTCTTTTGCACAGACAAGAAATTGAGAGCGAGTTCATGTCAAACGTAGTATAGTTTGTTTTGTCATGTCCTGTGTGACAAAAGGGACCTAAAAGAGGAAAGGAAGAAAAAAAAAAGTTTGTTGATGTGATGTATTACCTTAAGTTTGCAAGTTGGAAAGGAAACACAATTACCATTAGCAATGCTATAAATGGCAATTCAAGCTCACCTATAAGAAAAGACAAGACAACAGAATTAAAAATAATAAATGGAATAAAGTGACATAAAGTAACATTGTTAGGTATGTTTAGGTAATGACATGGTGTGGTTTCCTATGTTTTCTAAATAGAATTAAAATAAAGAGAAAAATATTGTCATTTCATAATTTTATCGATTTAGCCACTATACTTTTGCCGTGATAAAAATATAATGGTTTCATCACTACAAAAACTAGTTAAGTGTGAAAGTGTGTTGTTAACTAAAAACTATGAAGGATATAAGAGATGCTATATTTGATATGTTCTATGATTCTATGAATTCAAATTGTTTGTTTTTTGGTCTCACAATCCAAGGAAATCTATTTGTAGAGTGGTAGGTATACCAGGAATACTGAAGAAAAGGCGAACTAAAAGTGCCAAGAATGCTGTTAAAATCCCATATTCGCCCCTGCAAGCAAATTTTCACAAGCAAATTGCAAAACAAATAGGAAACTAATTAAATTGAAACAAAAAATATAGAAAGTAATTATGTATCATATGAAAATTGCAACATTTAACAAGACACATAGTTTTATAAAATTGTTAAGACTACAAAGCTTACTTGATCCAGGATGTAAGACTTGCAGGTGCTTGTAGAGCAAAAAAAGGAACAATAAATGATTTTTGAATTGCTGTGCCTTTTGCAAACATCAAAACCCTGTAGAGAAATTGATTAATCCTTTTGGTAAAAAAATCAGTAAAAAAAAAAAAGATAGGTCCCATTTGATATAAAAATAATATTCTTGTATAATAGTTAATTGTGTATTGTATAGCATCTTGCTTTTATATTTCGTTGTATAATACATTCAAACATCAGCCCTAGTTGTTGCATGAATTCGATTTTGTCAGATTTTGATGGTTGTTTTATTTAATCTGCTTCTATTGCATTATATGTTTATGTTTTAAGTAACCATCAAAATCAAACATATCTAATTTAGTAAAATAATGTTTTGATTAAATAATAGATTTTTATGGGCTATATGTAAATCAAATCAATTGTGTAGTGTCGAAAGTACTATCTTTGACCTAAAACTCTTAAAAGTCAAAATGTGTAACAGCTTTAATGAATTAACGAATTCACTGTGTCTATGAGAGGCAAAGAGAAGAGGGAGCACAGCTTACGCAGCAGATATTGTGCAGATCCATTGAAGGTTACTCGTGGTAACAGGAGGAGAATAGCAAACAGGGCCAAACCCTCGTTTCCATTTTTGCTTCATCCCCAAATTACCTCTATTTTCCACAGCAGTTCTGCGACATCCTCAAAATTTAACAAATCATGATCACCAAAATAACAAACATTCCTCAATTTAACCATAGACTAATCAAATCAAGTTCAATCAACGTAATAACTGTTTACACAAATGAATATGAAAGTAAAACATAAGTTACATAACGAACCTGAGAGGGTTAAAGAGCTGGAGAGGAGTAGGGAGGTGGGCAGAGCGATGAGAATTGAGAGAGCGAACGTGGGGTTTGAGGCGACAGTGAAGGGTTGGGAATGAGGAGGTGGAAGTGGCGGAGGAGAAGAGAGTGTGTGTTAGAGTTAGCATCTTTATTTGTTTGGTGACGTTTTAATGCTTTACGGTGGCCGGCGGCGAAAAGAAATAGACGACGTCGGTGAGAAGGAATAGTCAAGTGAGCGAGCGACGAACACAAATTTATAACTCCCAAAACAATTTTAAAACATTTTGTTTTACAAATTTCGTAAAAAAAGTTTATTCATTTTATAATGAAATTTACAATTACATCAAAATCTATATTTTCGATTGTAAATTTATAAGGTATTTGATTTCTACCCTTAAATTGCATACGGGTCAGGTCCCCAATATTTTCACTCTTAGGTCATTGCCTCTTGACCCCCATTCGTTTTTTAACGATCGAGACCTCGGTCATTGTAACAATAGTCAAGTTCATAAGAGATTCAACAACTCAAACAGATGATATAATATTAATCATTGTTATATTTAACTCGTGATATATTAATTGGTAATATATCGTTGTATATGTTATTTGTCATGTGAATATACTAATAAAATGGAATTCTATAAGTTTTAAATAAATTTTAATTATTGAATATGAAACCCCTTTGGCCCTTTCTATTCCAAATTCTAAGATAATGAAAACACACATATGTCCAGTCGTTAAGGACAAACTTGAAATTGGTTCAGAAATATCTAAAACTTGTCGACATAGGATATAGGATAAGATTATTTGCTACTTATTCACAAGACTAATGTGTTGCACTCTTTAAAGGTCATATGCATGTTGATTCTAACATCTTATTTTATTTTATATGTTTATACGGTATTATTTCTTTAGTCAATTAAACTAGAAAACTAAAGTAAAAATAGACATCTAAATATTTATTAAAATGCTAAATGACCAACAATATCCAAAAAGTTTAAGCACATGTTAAATTTTAGCTTGAAAAAGTAGTACGTCATTATTTGATCATTACACATATCTTTGATAGGTGATTTTAGACCGAAAGGTGTGGTCTTATTGCACATTGTGTTGAGCTCAGGTGGATCGTGATGGTCTGCAGTGAACATTCGTCCGACCTCTTTCATCACTAGACAGAGACAGAGAGAGAAGCAAGTTCAATGGTGAACCATATTTAAGGAAATGAACCAATGAATTTTTTATCTAAATGTAATTTTGACACCAAATTTCACATGTGCATGTACATATCCATATCGAAGAGATTTGAATATATATATATATATATATATATATATATATATATATATATATATATATATATATATACTAGTCGTTT